TCCTTCCTGGGTCTCTACCTCATTCTGACAACCGGGACAAATGGAACTCTGTGATTAGATTTTTATTTTATTTTATTTTTTGCTTCCAATAAGCCTTTTTGCATAATCCTCAACAATTACCAGCCTTTGAGAGTCAGCCCAAGCTCCGTAGAAGATGTTTATCTTCCACCCTCAGATGGAAAGATCAGTTTTCTTTCTGTCCAGGGCTAAGGCACTGGGCAGCGGCGGCAGCAGAGGCAGAGTGACTTCCCTCTGCTTCCTTACTGAAAGTGCTGGGCCCAGCAGGCTGTCTCAGTCCTCCTCCACCTACTCCAGCTGCTAGTCTGGAGTAGGTGGAGTCTGATCCTTGACATCATGGACCAGGCACCCAGCTGACTTCTGCTCTCTATAAGCAGAGATGTCAGGTACTCAATCCCAGCCCTTGGGATGAAATCCTCCTGTCATATGGGGACATCAGAGGGATGACGGGCACATCGCCAGCCTCACCTAGAGGCACATCCCTACCCCACACCCAAGACACCTGAAAAGCAAAGCTAGCTCATTTGAGCTGTCCTAACCAACACTTGACCGTGGGCTCCCAAGGGCAGGTGTGGTGAAAAGTATCTGAAGACCTGCAGTTTAGCCCTGGCTTGGCACTAATTAGCCAAGTGACACTGAACAAGTTACTGACATTAGTGATAACTGTCTTTCTAAAAATTGGATGTAATAGAGTAGAATATCTTATCTCAAAGTTCAGCTCTGCCTTCATTGTCTTAGCAAAGTCAAAAATCACACAGAGATTAAGCGGTTCCTTTTAGGAGATACTGCCTGCTTTCTAACTATAAAGTTAAACTTTTTGCACCACTGTAACAAAATATCTGGCAGAACCAACTTTATGAAAGAAGGGCTTGCTTGGGTTCATGGTTTAAAGGGGAAGGCAGGGCAGCATGAGCTCTGCTGGCAGTGGCTGGTTCACATGGCAGTAGATGACAAGCAGAGAGACTAAACCAGAACCAGGGTGGACACAACTTTCAAATCCCCATTTCCAGTGGCTATCTTCACGAGGTTCCACCGCCTAGAGACTCAAAGTAGTGCCACAAGCTGGGGACCAGGCACAATGCTGTGGAGAACGTTCCGGCTTCAATCCATAGTGCCAACTGAATGCTTAGGGGAAACTTCACTGCTGTTTGTGCAATGGAAAGTTCATACAGGGACACAGAAGCCAGGAATGTCTGCTCAAAGTTATTGTTTCTCTCTTGACAAAACCAAGGTGCTCGTCTGTCCTGCTTCCGTGCACAGTGGCTGTCACGAGGTAGTGACAGGAGGGGATCAGCAAGAACTTGTTGATTGGCTGAGAGAATATTTAGGAGCAGACTGCCCTTTCCTTGGTGAAAGCTGAAACGCCACAGGAATTCCTTATTTTCCCTAAGAAAGGCCAAGTTCCTGGGCCGCAGGATGACAGTTCTATTCTCAGAAGACAAATAAGTGTCTTGCTGTCCTGCTGTGGACTCCAGCCATGGCTTTAAGGAGAAATGTGTAAGGATGACTGTGAAACCTTTAGGGATATTGGTTTTTCAGATAAAGTAGTAAGAATATTATGTTTACATCCCTACAATATGTACATGTTACAAAGCATGATGTCGGCTTATCAGGGCTGGAAGTGAGGTTAGGTTTTGGGAAATAGCACAGTTGAAAATGCAGTGGACCAGGGCCGGAGACCAGGAATGCATCCTGGAGAGCCGACAGTCTGACTTTGGAAAAGTCACTTTACCCATCTTTCAGTATTCAAGCGATGATCCCCAGGAGTGGTACAGATATGCACTCTGTAGCTTCAAACACCTCAGACATTTTCTCTCTGGCCTTCATAAGCAGCTCGGATTGTACTAACTACAACACACAATATTACTTATTATGTAGATTGTATCTGTGTATTATATAAGACATATGATGTTTGCAAGTGCTGCCGGTGAGCCCAGCTGACCCCTCTACCTAAAGTCTCTTTCTCCCGTCACGGGCCAGCACAGCCTGGCTCTTAGAACGCCCATCTGCCTTCCTAGCCTCCCCTTCCACGCCACTCACGCGCACTTTGCTTCCTCCGTGTCCTGTTTCTTACCATGCTATGAAAAGTCTTCTTTGAAGAAGCCAAGCCATCCATTCCTGTAGCTCTGAGACGGTACCCTTCTAATCCCTCCTCTCCCGAGCCTCTCCAAGGGCCATGCACCAGTTGGGTATGATGTGTGTTCTCATTGCTGTGTTGGCTAGCTTTATGTGAACTTCACACAAGTTGTGGTCATCTGAGAGGATGGAACCTCAACTGAGAAACCGCCACCAGAAGATTGGACTGCAAGCAGAAAAGCCTGTAGGGAATTCTTAATTGGTGATAATGGGGGAAGACCCAGCTTACTGGATGCCCCCTACACCGGCTGAGCAAACCAATAAGAACTACTGACCCCCCCCACACACACACAAAATGGCCTCTGCATCTGTTCCTGCCTCCAGGATTCTGCCCTGCTTGACTTTCTGTCCTGACTCCTCCAATGATGAACAGGGATGCAGAAGTATAAGGCAAGCAAACCCTTTCCTTCTCAACTGACTTTGGGTCACGGTGTTTCATCACAGAAATTGCAACCCTAAGACACAAGTGCTTACTGCTTCTGTAAAGCAAACCAACTATATTTACTGAAAAGTTTTCTCTTTAGGAGAAGTCACACCCTTCAGCTACCTTGAACTTGGGTTAAAACCACAAATGGTTGAAACATGACAAAATGATTCCCTTTTCTCTCCCCTCAAAAAAAAAACTCTGAAGATGATATATTTCCCATGAATTTAGCTGGTAGCTTCTCTGTACCCCAATATCTGTCTCTGCCTTTGCAATCCTAACATACTTCAAAGCTGTCTGTTCTTACTGAGGCTTTTCTTGGCCATTGCTAGTGAAAGTACTTTCTCCATCCACTTCCCAGGAACTATATGCTATGACTTTACTGGTACTTAGCTCTCTTGTGCAATATTGCCGATAATAATTACCCCTCTGAAAACCATCTCTTAAAGGCAAGAGCTATTTTTTCAACTGTGTGCACCAAAGCACCCAGTCAATGTCTGTCAAACATGTTAGATAGCTGATGACAATGGTGCCAGACACTGGGGAGAATGTATCATAATCGGTTTTGTAAAGGAAACCACGTGTCTAACTTCATAACAAAGCTTGAGTAAGTTTTTTTGAGTACACTGTCTCATTTAAAAACAGACTAAGGAAAATAATGACTGTGTAAACATGAAGTGCTCCCTGTGACACGGAAATATCATTAGGAGTGATGTTGGGACCTTTGGTCCAAGCAACTGGCTAAGTGGTGTGGGGGCAGAAGGCTGGGGATTGGAGGTGAAAGGCTTCTGAAACTCATTCTAGGGCACACTAGTTTGTTTCGGTGGTGATTTAGCCTTGTAGAGGAGTAGAAGTCTGTACATAAGTTGAGCAGCCCCCTACATGAAATGGGTCTCCAATTTTTTTTACTCCTTTTGATTTTTGGAGTATTTTTTCTATAAGTAATGAAATATCTTGGAGACGAGACCCGAGTGAAAACACAAAACTTAGTTGCATTTTCTATACACATGGACAAAGGTAATTTGATATAAAAATTTTAGTGTGCCACAGTACACATGTGGAGGTCAGAGGACAACTTTGGGAATCTATTCTCTGCTTCCACTGTGGAACGCGGGAATACAACCCAGCTTCTCAGCCTTGAGCAGGAAGAGCGTCCATCACCAAGTCACCCGGCCAGACCACACCTGTGTGTGTTTTCACTCTTTCCTATCATAGGGATTAGTTACAAAACTATCCATTTGTGGTCTCATATTGGTGCTCAAAAAATTCTAGATTTGCAATTATGTCCTGAGTTCTGAAAATGCTTGGGCTCTGTGTGTATAGAGATGACAGAAACCAGGACTCTGTCCTGGTGGCTCTGGCTGAAAGGGGTCTTGGTCAGTCTTCATGCCATTTTGAGTGAATTTAGGAGACATCTGTGAACAAGCAGATGAGGGTGTTTGCAGAGGTTTAACTGAGGAGGGGAGATCCACCCTGACTGTGGGTGCTACCTTGCAGTGGGCTCGGGTCCTAGACTGAATAAAAAAGAAAAAAGTAGGCGGCATCAACCGCCCTGTCTTCCTGATCCTCCCAGATACAAACATGTGCCCATGGACAGCTGTGAGATGCTCCTGTCCCAGCTCCACGGTCCTGCCGTGATGAGCTCTGTCCCCTAAACAAAATGAGCTTCTCTTCCTCAAGGTGTTTCATGGGACGTATTTGACCACAACATCAAGAAAAACAACTGACACAATGGGAAATCAAGCCATGAAAGCAGGCTTGCATGTCTTGAATGCCTGTTTGAGTCTGAGTCAGAGTTTTATATATCACAGGCTGGCCCTGAACTCTCTGTGTAGCTGAGAATATCCTGAAGCCCTCCTCCTCCTGCCTTCACCTGAGTGCCCAGGTTACAAGTGTGTGCCATTACACTCAGATTTTCAAATCTTTTTTGAAACAAGGTGTCACTGTACTACCCTGGCTGTCCTAAAATTCAGAACCCCCCTGCTTCTACCTCGAAATGTCAGCATTGCAGACACGTGCCGGTCCATACCTGGCTTGACTCTATTGCTAAATTGCATTGTTTGACTTTTTAACATTCAGAACCTAAAGAAAGATCTCTCCTTACCAAGGCCAGCAATCCCCATAGTTGGCAGCCCCTGAACTGTTTGTCTGGAATCTCAGTGCAGAAATGGCTACTAATCATTGACTGGGCTTAAAGGCCTTATAGCTTCTCCCCTCCTGTTTCTTGCTTTTAGGAGGAGAGGTTTTACAAGATGTGGAGACTATAACGGGGAGGAGGCATCAGTAGATCTCCTAGAGAAAAGCAGTTCTAAAGCACTCAGCTATAAGATAGGGATTTAAACTGCAAGGTGTATGAGTAACCCTGCTAATTAAAACAGAAGGCTTTTAGTTAAAAAGTAACTACCAAGGCAAATGTACCAACCTTGGCCATTGTCAGCATCCTTTCTAGAAGACAGGAAACCTTGAACCTTGAACCTAGAAGCAAACCAAGCCAGAAATTCCTTATTTCAAATGAGGACTTTGAAAATTTAACATTTCTTATGTAGTTTTTTCTGACTCTCTCTTGATGTTTAACATTATGATCACTTAATGAATATTGTATCAAAAAAAAAAGAAAGAAGAGGTTTACACTGCTATCTGACTGCTCCAAGGTTCAGCCCTCCCACACTCTGGGAGGAGGAAGAAGTGGGTAATGAATGGTAATCCTCTTTATTTTTATAGGATGAATAGTTAAAATGTTAGCTCATTGGAAGAACAAGTGCTATTATCTGGAAAGAAATTATGGGCAATGCAGATTTGTGTTTTTTTTAAGGGAAATTTGATGCCATGGGGTAAATGCTTCCTAGTTTTCATTTTCACAAAGCTAAACTTTGTGTTATTACCTTATTGTACCTCTCAGAATTTCTCAAGCCTCCAAACAAAAGGGTAGAAAGTACACAAGTACAAAAGACTGCAAATCCTTTTTCTGTAGCAGAACACAACACCGGCCCTTTGTCAGACTACAGAACCCCATTCCCTTCTCTCCTGGAGCCACAGGGAGAACACAGGCCTACCTCTCAGCTAGGGCCCACATCTACCCAGCAGCTCTGACTGCCCTGGAAGCAGCTTGGCAATATGGAGGAGATTGGGACACACGTCTCAGCCTCTAGACTGGTAGAGATGGATACTTTGGGATGTTTGAATCTTTATTTAGAAAGGAAAAATAATCCAAATTCATAACCCTTTAATACTATTCAAAGTCTCAAAGTACATTCTTCAGAGTCTGGAGAGAAAGCTCTGTGGGTAAGAGCATTCATTGCCTGCTCTTCCAGAGGACCTAGGTTCGATTCCCAGCACCCACATAGCAGCCCACACCATCTATAACTCCAGTTCTAGGGAATCTAAGACCTTCTTCTGGCCTCTTCAGATACCGACCATGCTCATAGTGAACAGACTTACATGAGGCAAAACACTCATACACATAAAATAAATAACAATAATTCTAAAGACATCCCACAGATGCACAGATGAACATTCAGGTCACGGGAACACGAGACAATCCCCAGGAAGACACGCAGGGTGAGTACTCTCTTTGGAAGGTTCACTCTATTCCTTGGGCCAATACATGTCCTAGAACTTATCTCACTAAGCTGCTGGCTTCCTCATCTAGAGAGGATAATGAAGGGTCTCCCAACTGGATTAGTATAACAGAGATAACTCAGCTTCTAAACAGGGCTGCTGTTCAGCAAATGGGATAGCCAGCCCTCCCCCATGTAAAAAACATAGAGATGGATTTGATTATCATTACGGGAAGGGGAGAACTATTGAGTTTTGAAACTAGCATCTGCTAACAGAGAGGAGGCACAGCACTCTCTTCCAAGTGGTCACTTGCATTATCCATTTTGAAAGCAAGGAAATATATTGGGACCACTAGTTTTTTTTTAATGTAATTTGGTAACTATATCAGGGCAAGGCATAAATGATTTTGCTTGTTTCTTTTCATTTTTAATACTTATTACTATTGTTGAGGTAAGATGTCACTTAGTAGCCCAGGCTAGCCTAGAACTCACTATATATGTCCTAGCTAGCCTTAGATTCACAGCCGTCTTCATGCTCGGTCTCCAAAGTGCTGGAACTAGATCTCAGATTAATTTGTTTTCAGTTTTTACGCAGTTATGTTTATAGAACAAGCCTGTTTTAACACGTACCTTTTTATTTGAGTCAACTGGCCTTGGATTCAATCTGTAACTTCAGCTCTTCCCAGTTCCACATCGTCAATGCTGAGATTTCAAGCCTGTTTCCTCACCCCCTCACCTCCACATACAGGGTTTTTTGTGCAGTCCTAAACTCTCTCTATAGACCAGGCTGGCCTCGAACTCGGAGGGATCCACCTACCTCTACCTCCTGAGTGCTAGGATCAAAGGCGTGTGCCACCACTGCCCAGGGACAAGCCTGTTCTTAACACACCTACTTTTTAAAATCAGCTTTCGAAGCATCCATCAGTCGTGCTTGCTTGAGGTAGCCAAGTCTCGGTCTCAGAATTTGATGGTTGAGTCCATCCTCCCACCCACACCTGTCTTCCTCTTTGGACAGCTCAGAGTGGCCATGACTGCCTGGTCTTACTGCCTTGTCTCTAGAAAAGCTCACACTCTTCCCTCATATTCCTTGTGCCAGTCTCAGAATGACCTGATGTTTCAGGCACCTTGACTGTAACTTCCCAAAGAATCCGTGTGGTCAGTTTGCACCCTGGGCTTTGCACGTGTTTTCTGTGAGTTTATCAAACTGCCTCTCAGTTTTTAATGGTGTATGCAGACAGCATGGCTACCCAGGCCCAGCATGTCTGGAATTATGGCCATTAGCCCCTTCTGGGATTGAAATCAGAGGACGACAGGGTGTGAGGGCTTGTCAGAGGATGATCTTCACCAAGTCAGCACTGAACCAGCAATGGACTGAGGTTGAACTGAAGTCTCCTGTTGCAGTGACATGTAAATGAGGGTCCTGGGAGCGTCTCTTATTAAAGTGCTTCATTTCCCCAACACCCCAGAAGAATGGGGGTTCTGCTCACATAGTTCACAACTACTTCTTAGTCTCTTAACTTTATTTCATTGTCTGAGCAAACGCAGTCCAGTCTGACTCAGTCCTATTCACAGCCTGTACGTTCATGAAAATCTATATAAAAGTTACTATTTCCTGCTTTCCTAATCAGTGCTAATAATGAAAGTTTATAATTACTGTCATGTTGGGATGAGCAGGACATAGTGGCAATTTCAGCAGTTGGGAGGCTGAGGCAGAATCACTGATAGTTCAAGGCCAGCCTGGGCTACACAGTGAGCGTTGGGAAATCTGGGATGTGCACCAGAACTCCGTCTCAACAAAAGAAGAAAAGATTTTTATGCAGAAAGGAAGGCTTGCTCAGTCAAAAGCACCTGTGACTCTTTTGAGAACTGTTAATTGTTTGGGGGGAAAAGGAGTCTCTCATTCAATAGTTACATTTAGAATTTTGTCTAGTTATGATTGTTTACAGTGGTATAGTCAAGTAACAAATACTGTATGAATTGTGCTTCAAGAAAAAGCCAGTGGGCTCTGAGGGGAAGCCCATGCACATCTCCTAATAATAAATACATAATAATAATAAGTACATAATAATAAGTAATAATAATAGTAAAGGCCTCCCGAGCCCTTCTGGTTATTTTCGATACTTCCTAGTTTGACAGTGCATCTCAGAGATAAGGACGAAGTGACTATGAGTGGAGTGTTGCTTCCCCAGAGCATTGTCTTATAAGAGAAAACAAAAACATAAATTAGTCACTCCTTACCATCACCTAGGCAGTTCAATGGCAAGTTCTGCTTTCCTGGATACATCCGGTATTTTGTTTTTGCTTTCCCCTACATTTACTGTTTCCCTTTGCATTTATCAGTGAAACAGAAGAGTGAGGTGACTTAGCTAAGCCTAGTGACGAACAGTTAGTCATCTTTGGGCTCTTCTGGGTTTGTGCGCCAGCTCTCCATCGCTGTGATAAAGCATCAGAGGTAAGTGACTTATAAGAAGAGAGGTTTCTTTTGGCTCCCGGTTGGGGTGACGTCAAACCACCATGGGACTGGTCCTGCTGTTTTGAGCTTGGCGGTACAGTATCACATAGTAGGAGTGCATGTGTCATCCATCTTTCTCTTACACTTGAAACTCTCAGTGCAAATCGCTGTCAATCACATAACTCCTTAAGGACATGTACCAAAGAGGAAGGAAATAGGTATCTGTCGCCAAGTGCTTCTATTCCCTCAGAATCAGAAGACGTAAGGTCGGTTTGATCTGTTTGGGCATGTGAAGCCTGGCCTATGCATGAGTCCTTTCAGAACACAATTGTTATTTATTTATTTATAACTGGAAGTAAAGCAGTGTCTATAGATGACAGACTTATCAGACTTAATAAAGACAGACAGACAGACAGACAGACGGACAGATGGAGACAGAGACTGAGTGAGAGCCATACAGGCCACTGCAGAGGCATATGGTCACTGAGAAGCACGGAGGTTTTTGGAGGTTTTGGGTTGTGGAGCCAAGGTGCTATTCCAGCCTGAAACTGAGGGTGGGCAGAGTCGGGTCCCAATAGGACAAGATGGCTGAACCTAAGGCGTGACTTACTGCTTGCCCTGCCCTGGCTGCAGGCTGAGCTCAGCACTGAGTGTAAGTACATGAGTCTCCTTTTTCTGACTCCATGTACTCCCAGCAATGAGCAGACCATGGACTGGGCGGCTCCCTGCTGGCCTCCAGCAGGGTCCTGAGCTTCCCTCTGTGCTATCACTATCTGTTATTCAAGCCTCTTGCTGTCTTTAAAAGGTCAACACTTAGATATGGGCAAGTAAGAAAGAAAAAATAAAAAGAATGACCTTCACTTACATTTCACTACCTTGCTCATTCAATGACTTTGGAAGGCCAAAGGCAATGTAAAGCCTGTCCAGTCGTGGGGGTCTCGAGTCTGGAATTTTCCAGGCTTTAGTATTTTTCTATTAAATCCCATCGTGCCTCCCCAAACGCACGCGCTTCCCGGCATCCCCACAAGGCACATCCGTGTACACGTCGGGTTACATAACGATGCCAAAACAGACAAGGAAGCCCAGGCCAGATGAACAGCCTGGAGAGGGCTGAGTTCAGCCAGTGGTATTGACACAGCGCTTTCTTTCCAGACCGCAGAACTGCGCGCTGATGCTATCTCTCTAATCCTCGGTGGAGCGTTCTCAAAGCCCCTTTATCCAGGCCCTCAATGCAGAAGGAGGGGCTGGGCCCGTAGAGGTGGTTAAGTCCCAGGCAGAGGTGGAAACATGACCCCGGGCTCCTGACGCACAGCCTTTGTCCCTTCAGCTCCACCACGCCAGTCACCTTCCTGTCAGGTGTCTGCTAAGCAGGTTAACTGATCTGTTGATTAGGAGATGTCGGCCTACGTGCGGCGACTGGAGGAGGCAGCCCTTCCTTGTTCATGCCATGCATTGACAGCAAACCAGTGACGCCGACTGTCTCACCGGAAAAACTCAAGCACAGAGCAGAGAGCGGTCCGGCTCGGCTGAGAAGAGGCCAAACTCCGGCTGGACCCCCGCTGTGCTCCGCAGAGGCTGCTGGCCAGAAGCCTGGGGGCGGGGCGGGGGGAGGTGGGGGCGGGGATGCAGCCAGGGGAAAGCAAGCTTATCCTTATACCATTAAATGCAAAATGTTGGAGGAAAGGGGGAGGGAGAAGGAGGAAAGGAGAGGGGTGGAGAGAAGAGAGGAGGAATAGGAGGAGAGAGGGGGGAAAGGATGGGGGAGGGGAGAGGACAGAGAAAAGAGGGACGGAGGGAGGGCAGGAGGGCAGCACCATTGGTTTGCAGTAAGAGCAGCACAGACTGGGAAGAGCGCAAGAGAGGAGAGGGAGGAGGCGTGGGAGGAGGAAGTGGAGGAGAAAGAGAAAGGGGGGCATTGCTATGGGAGGTCCTGAGCAATGACGCGCGTGAACTTGGCTTGGGCTGAACGAAGCCCTGATGCTGCTCCGCGGCGGGCTTTCCCACGCGGTCGGGGTGACCCGGTGATGACTGGGGTCGTGGTGGTGGTCTTTGGAGTGAGAGGCGGTCCCTGGAGCGCCGCCCTCATGGTGGTCACCGGTCACCCGCACCCAAGCCGCAGGCGGGGAAAATAAAAAGCCAGTGGGAGCCGCGGGGCGCCTCCAAGGCGGTCGCTGCTCTTTTGCTGCCCTGGTCCCTGCAGGCTCCCTGCCCCTCCCTCCCGGGACCCACCCCAGGAGCCTTAGGACCTGCCTGGTGCAACCCGGAGGTCAAGTAGAAATCGTGGAGGAAAACACATCATACTGGAAAAGACCTCAACTTACTAACGACGTCTCCCTTTATTGAACGTGTACATCAAAGAGCATTTTTCTCACTCCATTCAGTGAGATTATAACTCCCTCCCCGCTAGATTTATTTAATCTGAGCCAGGAACACTTGGAGCTAGTGGCCTGACTGCTTCTCCCAGCACAGGGACTGACTAGTGAATTGCCACCTCTTCCCAGCTGGCCTCAGGCCTTGGCTATCTAACTTCATTCGCTAGTTTCTATTCTTCCTTGAGGGAGCTTGAGTTCTAGAGAAAGTTCTCTTTTCCTCTAGTTCATATGTGACTTGGCTCACGCTAATTTCTGTGTGAAAGCCGATGTGATGACCTCAGGCCAGGGCCGCTGGTGGAGGGTGATGGTTTAGCTCCCAAGCTCTGACCTGTACAGACCCCCCCCCCCAAGCCACTATTAATAACCGTCGGGGTCAGCGCCACTTGCCTATCTGACCGTCTGCTTTATAATTCTTATTTACGACCCACAACAGGCTGTTTATGATGATCACAAGCTTGGGGAACAGCAGGTGAGGTGCTCAGGAGTAAAAGGTGCTTGTCTCCAAGCCTGAGGGAACTTTGCTTTCCAGGATACACATGGCACGCTCCCTCAACTTGTTCTCTGACCTGCGACTGAACACATAATAAATAAAATGTGATAATAGAGGTTAAAAATAAGATAAGTAAATGAAAAGTCCCGTGGAGGTTCTGGACTTGAGGAGCTTCCCCAGATCTCACTGGTATGTGTGGCAGGGTCTATCTGGACTGGAGATTCAGGGTTGCTTTACCCCATATGTAAAGTCATAAAGGACAGAAAGGCATTTTCCTTTTGATTAAAGCCTGGTTTCCAAACCTAGCAGGTAGGAACAATGTCCCTCCTTGCCCAGAGGACCTGGCCCATTTATTTATTTTTTTAACCTCTGAGAAGTCGTCTCCCACACAAGATTTGAGCCAGCAGGAGACAGGAAATGCACTAGCACTGGGCTAGGAATGCCATCCCTCACTCTTGAGACTGAGACAGGACTGCAGGAAGATCTGGATGGGGACAGATTGATGTGGCAGTGCCACAGCCGCACCGATAACATTAATTCCAAAGCCAATGCAGCACCTTCGCAAGTCTTGATGTGCTGTTCAGTGTGCACTCACCTGACAGTAAAGCTTGGAGCTACCTGCGGTGGGAAGAGCAGTCAGGATGGAATTACCACAGCACATGGACAGTTCGCAATCTAGATGTCTCTCAGGAAAGTCTAGAAGGAGCTACTCCGAAGGTGAGCGTGTCATAAAGGAAGTCCCTTACACAAATACATTTGCAAGGTGGGGACTATTTATTTAATACAGCAACTCCAAACAGAACACCATTTTAATGTGGATTTTTTCATTTACTCCAAACCAGGGCCACATTCATGAGAAGGTTGATTGTGTTTTGTTGGTGTAAAAGAATAATCCCACCGACAAGACTTACTTGGGTCAACCAATGGCACTTTCTAGTCACATTTGTGCAGAGGAGGTTGGTGGTGATAAATAGCTAGTAATTGGGGCTGCCAGGTGCTAATAGATTCCTTTTTGATCTTAGTCTTGGGAGAAAAATTATGTCCTAGACCTGGACCGCCAAAGTATGACAAGAAATGACATCTATGGTCCTGGGTGGCCTATACCAGGAACTGTATAACCAGAGCCTCCTCCAGCCATTTACACCTGTGAATGAGTTTAATCCCTTCCTACATGATGAGTGAAGTCAGTGTCTTCTCAGAGTCTCTTTTCACAAAGCAGAACACCTTTTGTAGAGGAGTGTCTGTGGGCATTACCCTCAGCTCCATGAAGACCTGTTTGCCAGCACACTAGAAGGTTTAATAGGCCCGAACAAGGTTGTGCCTGGCTTCCTGGGCCACCGACCCAGGCTTGGGAATTGATGGCAACAGGATTAGGGTTTCAGGACTCTAGTATGAAAACATGTGGTACTCCCTGGGACAAGAAAGTGACTTCAGCAGATGGTGAGGCAGCACTGAGAGGGAATTGGGAACCAGACTTAATTCTTTTTATGGTTTAATGAGATTCTGTCCTGGCCATAGACAGTCATGTAGCCAACTCACCCCAGGCCTTCTCTTTGTCAAGGGCTTGCAGGGACCAACACAGCGATATTCAGGTAAAATTAGAACTGTGTATGTGGCTGAATCACCGTTGTTAGAGAGACTGGATCCTACATCCCAACTACTCAGCTCCCCTGAGGCCCTGGCTTTCCAGACCTGAGCTTCATAGTAAATTCTCTCTCTCTCTCTCTCTCTCTCTCTCTCTCTCTCTCTCTCTCTCTCTCTCTCTCTGTCTGTCTGTCTGTCTGTCTGTCTCTGTGTGTGTGTGTGTCTTTTCTCTCACAGAATTTTGTGTAAAGTGTTTGACTTTTGTTTTATGTGTATACATGTTTGTCTGCATGCATACATGTGCAACATGTGCATGCCTGGTGCCCGTGGAGGTCAGAAGAGGACATTGGATCCCTGGAAACTGGAGTTACACGTGGTTGTGAGCTGCCATGTGGGTGCTGGGAACTGAACATTGGTCCCCTACAAAAGCAGCAAGTGATCTTAATTGCTGAGCCATCTCTCCAGCTTCGCCTTCTTTTTCTAGTAAAGGTATAAAAACTTTTACTATCAAATCTAGTCTGCCTTTCTCAAAAGAAATGGGGACCAGGGGCACAAATGCTTTCCTGGAATGACGTATGCATGACAGAACCTAGGCAGATTATGATGTACACAGATTTTACACAGCTCCTGATAACAACATAGCATGCCTCATGTCTGAGAAGGCAATCGCGTTTCCCAAGTGAAACCATCCTCCTTGTAAGACATAATACACAGGGTCTGAGTGCTCTCCAAGTAGCAGTGAGGAAAGGCTGTGTCTGCAGACTGTGCCCACACCATGGTGCCAATGTACACAGCTCAGCCTCTTTACCCCGGGTGTACAAGAACTGCTCCATTACCCTACATCTTAACTTTCATTTCATTGTTCTCTCCCCATGATGCTGCTGTCTCCTTTTGGAGCCTGCATCTTGTCACAATCCAAAAACTAACAGTGTCGTTGTATTCTGCAGCTGCGGGGCAATGAAACACGAACCCACATGGGGTTTAGTGGGAAAGGGAGAGAAGGGAGAGGTAGGTGTTGGACAACCGGGAACAGAGATAGAAGGGGGAAGTTAAGAGAAAAAAAGGCAAAGAGACACAGAGAGGACAGGAGAGAAGAGGGAGATAGGAAATGTCCGGTCTGCCCCAGGGGAATAGCAGGAAAGAGAGGAGAGGGGGGGAAAGAGAGAGTGGAAACATAGGAGCAGGAAAGAGAAAAGGGCAGAAAGAAATGAGCGGGCAGAAAGACCATTAAGTGGGCTGGGTCTTTCTCTTAAAGGGGTCCTTTATACCTCCATGGAACCCTGGGCTGACCAGGGTACTGCCTGAGTGCATTCTGCCAGGTGACAGGGGCAGGTCAGCATAATGCCTGAACCCTTATAAACAGCACAGAGAAAACAGGAAATACAGTCTTCCCGGGGCCTTAAAATCACTGGGTAGACTTTGTTTCGTGACTACCACAAACATTATTTTGAGATTTTAAATTATGATTAAATACACACATCATATAAGTGTATAATTTTCACCATTTTTTCATTTTTCATTCTCTTACAGAGAAAATCCACCTATTCACCAGATTCCCTTCTCCCTCTGCACAGTCCCTGAAAGCCACCATCCTGCATTCTTGCTGTGTTCCTTTGACTAGGATCCTTATCTAAGCGAACGTGTGCAACATTTGTCCTTTCTTGGCAATCTTCTTCCACTTGTCACTGTGTCTTCATGCTTCATCATCCATGTTGTAGCATGTGCCAGGTCTGCATTTATCTGAACAGCAGAATCACATTCCACTGTGCAGTGCTGCTTTTCTATCAATCCATCCGTCTACTGATTAACACACCGGCATTCTCAGGCGACGCTTCAGGACACAGTAGTTGGGGAATTCCATGCCTATACTGTGCCCATACAGAGGTCACCATGTCAAGTGAGGACCCAGTCCTAGCCAACCTCTGTTCTTATGAGAGCATCTGGACATGCAGACTCGGGGTACAGAGGAAGGAAGGGGACCACCTTCAAGCTGAAGAGAGACGTCAGGAGAAAGGCAACCTTCGAGCCCTTGATCATCAACCTCACACCTCCAAAACCATGGGAAAATAGATTTCTGTGGTGAAAGCTACCAAGGCTTTCTGTCTGCCATGGTAATTGGTTCTGAAGGAGGCGATACTCATTAAGATAGTTGTGTGCCATTATATTCCTAAAGAGCCTCTTACCTCCCTTTATATTCCTGCCTGCCTTTGTAACTGAAATGAGTGTGCATTTAGAACTCGCTTCCCACCTTTTCTTCCCCTCCAAGAGCTTAAGTCCTTCAAAGAAGCCTATGACCTGACTCTTAAACCAAGGCTGCAGCCTTCTGTTTCTCTAATCCACAGCTGGATTGCTTTGATACTCTGGTCAAAAGGCTCTGTTCTCAATGGGGCTCAGTTCACAGGCAAGCTCCAGGGCAGCCCGCCTCCTCTGCCCCAGACAGTACAAGGAAAGGTGGGGGTCGTGATGAAAAGGCAGAACACTGTGGGGAAGAGGGCAAGAGCTAGGAAAGTCAGCTTTTGTGTGTCGAGGAAAAAGCCTTGATTGGAATGAGGGACTCTGAGCCATTCTGGGGACTTAGCTCACTGGAGACACATGTGCAAATCACTTTCCCAAAAGCTTTAATTGCATCATCTTGTAAACTTGCTTCAGAAGGCCATGGGGGGGGGGGTGAGAATAGGAATCATGGTCACTGTCATGACTACAAGGTCTAGTTTATCAAGAGTCTTTGTCCAAAAAAACCCAGTGGAAACATTTAAAAATGACACTACGTTGGAGTCTGATTAATTTTTCTAAAACACAAAGGATCCTCCCCTCCTCCTTCCCCCACCCCCAATGAGCACCCCTCGGACAAGGTTTGTGCCATCATTACAAGTTGAGCTTTGTAGCTCCTCTAAATGTTGAGCGATTGGCCTGCAGCCTTCAGTAGCTTTTGGTTCATCGACTCTGCTGCATCTGAGTGCTGCTGTGTTCCGGGGTGCTGACCCAATGTTGACTGTACTCTCTGGGTTCCTCAGTCCTGTCCAATTTGACTTCGCTCTCATTCTGTAATCTTCATGTTGAAGCCTAGATTTATAATAAAGACATTTTCTGTGGCTAGAATAGCTTTTATCTTCACCACAGCTATAAATGTGATTTTATAAGGTGAGTTGAGCAACAGAGTTCATGAATGCCGGGCTTGGAAAGATGGTTCATTTGGTAAAGAGCCTCCCATACAAGGACCTGAGGTCCATCCTGAACCCATGTAAATTTCTGAAAACTTATATTCCAGATACTGGGAAAGCAACAGTAGACTGGCCATTTTGAAAGCCCTCCATCAGTGAGAGCACCTGTCTCAGAGAAACAAGCTTTGGGCTGGAAGGATGTCTACGTGGTTGTGAGTGAAGTCTCTTCTTCCAGAGAACCTAACAACACTGTTAACTCCAACTCCAAGGGATCCAACACGCTGTTCTGGCCTTCTCAGGTACTTACACACATGTATCATACATTTATACAAACGGGCACACATAAATAAAAATAAGTCTTGAAAAACAGAGTGGATAGTACCCAAGGAAGAACATTCGGAACTCAGCTCTGTACTTCGCAGACATGTGCACACAGATGCATGCCTCCGTTCTCCTCACCCTCCCCTGAATCAGTGGACGGGAGCTACATAAGCTTGCCCTTGAGTCAGTGGGAGATGGACTCGGTTTAACTGAAGCGATCTGCACGGCTGATTTGACTGTCTCTCAGGTGCTGCGTGTTACTTTTGTATCAGCTAGACTGGGTTGATCTAGGATCTTTGTGAAGCAAACGTTTGGGTGTGTCTGTGGATGGATGCCTGTAAAGGCCTTTCCATTAAGGCTTAAGTGAAGGAATAGCACTCATCCGGGATGAGAGTCACACTCTCCCACGGCTGGGAGTCCTAGATGGAATAGAAATGAGGAGAGGAGGAAACCGTGCACCTCTTTCTCTTCCTGGCGCAGGGAGATGGGAGCAAGCAGCCTCGCACACACTTCCGCCTCCAGCCCCGTCCAATGCCACGCCTTCCCCACCAGGATGGACTACTTCCTCAAACAGAGCCAAATAAACTCTCTTCTCTAAAGGGCTTGCAGTCAAGTATTTGGCTACAGCCATGTGAAAGGCAGCTAATAAGTGTGTCACAGCCTAAGAAACTGAACCACCACACTTCTCTTAATGTCTAACAAGACCTGACTGTGAAGAACCACTTTTGACTTGATGGTCAGTAAAATGGGATCAATGCCACAGAATTCTTTTAGAACATCTATGAATGGTGACTTTTGCTTTGATCAAAATGAGACAAATGAGCCCAAAATGCCAAGACCTGCCTTTGTTTCCACTGCCCTGGAGTTCAGTGGCTGTAAAATGGAAGCCACTGCTCCACTGTCCTCCCTAAAACATATCCAAAAGTCCTGTCTGCCCTGACACATGGAAGAAGCTTGGATTTCTCATCCTGAGAAAATTCCCCCATGACACTCTTTCCCAGTCCTGGTCAGCAGGTGGGGGCTCTCCCTTTGTGACACCAAAGGCCTCAGGAAGTGCTTACCTGTGCCCAGACTGGGCAGCCAGGCCTACCGAGAGTGAGCTTTCTCTTTTGAGACCAAGGAATACAATATGCACAGTTGACCCTTTTTGACCCCCTCAGGAACTATTTTATTCTTTACTAATGCCAAGAGAAAGGGCCTCTAAGGCCCCTTGACTTGTAAACGCCTAATTAGGAAGCTGTCAAAGCTGACACCATGTGAACCTCATTCATTCTTTCAAAGAGGAGGAGAAGAAAAATAAAAAAGCACTTACCATTATCCTGCTAAGGCAATCCTCCAATAAAATGAATTTCTTATCTGCGACATCCACTTCAATTAGACCAAGACTGTTGCTCTTATCCATGCTCATTTGGAAAATCAGCAGTGCCTCCACCTACATGGCAGTTCCTTCTAGAGGCTTCCCTGACATCCCCAATCAATCCTGACACTAAGGTTGCAGTTCAAAGACGGTTTGCCACCACCAAAACTCATGCTGAGAAGTTTTCTGGCAGCACTGGGAGATGGTGGGAGGGAACTGGGTGGGTTCCTCATGAAAAGAGGCGAGTGTGTTCTTGGAAAGGTCTACGCGACTTACTGTAGAACAGCTGTATAAAGCAGATTTAGCTCGTGCCTTATCTTTCTGTGCTCCCCTGCCCACAGCTCTTGCGAGCTTTTGTGCACGTGTATTAGTCATTCACTCCCCTACCTTGCGTTTCAGTGAAGGAAGAGCCTGGCTGCAGGCTTGTGTTCAGGTAGATGGAAGGTGATCCTGGGAAGGAGCATGAGCTACCTGGAGAGTGGGAATGCACCACCACAGGAACCAGACTGGATCCTGCTGGGACCACCGGCAAAGCACACTTAAGGTCTACAAGTAGACTCACTATCCACCAGCTCCTTCCATCAATCAAAGGATGTCTTTTCTAGAACTAACTTCCTGGTCTGTGTAGATGCTTGAACCAGCGTGACCCTCCTCGGCATCTTTGGTGCCCCAGGATAGAAAGAAAAAAACCAGTGCAATTAGTTATCTGTGACTGTAATGTAAATCATGCCCAATATCTGAGCCTTCAAACCATAAACAATTATGATTTCATAATTTGTGCAGGTCAGGAGTCAAAGAACAGTTGTAAACTGCCTTAGGATCGATCATTCATGATCCACAGTCCAGGTGTGGACCCTGCGACTTGCCTGGGGTTGGAGACACTGCGTCCAGGACGGCTGATGCCAGGGTCTTCAGTTCCACGTGAGCTGTTGCCATCAGCCCTCATCATGACACAGCCCTTCCTACAGAACTGTTTGAGTGTCTTTACACTTTCAAAAGATAGCTTCCCCATGGAAGAGAAGGGAGGGAGGGAGGGAGGGAGGGAGGGAGGGAGGGGAAGGCAAGGGAGGGAGAGGAGAGAAAGAAAGCTTAGATAAGATATTTCCATAGACCTCTAACATCGATTAAGTTACCGCCACAGAGACCCATCCTGATACATTGTGAGAAAGAGCAATTCAAGAATGAGAACAATGGGGGCTAGAGAGATGGCTCATCAGTTAAGAGCACTGGCTGCTCGTCCAAAGGACCCAGGTTCAATTCCCAGCACTCACATGGCAGCTCACAACTGTCTGTGACTCCAGTTCTAGGGGATCCAACACCCTTACACAGGCATACATGCAGGAAAAACACCAATGCACATAAAATAAAAATAAATTAAAGAAGAATGATAACAACAGAAAGCAGTCATAACTGGAAGCCACAGTAATCACTCTCCTCATTGTGAGACAAGGGTACCTGTGACAGAAGTAACTCAAAGATGGACATTTGACAGTACGACAGACCCACCGAGGCACGGAAAGAAAGCCTGGTGGCAGTGTCACTCCCCACCCACAGGCAGGAAGCAGAGAGCAATGACAGTTGGTACCCAGCTCACATTCACTTGAGGCCTTTGCAACCCAGTTTTTCCAGTGAAGAAACCCTCTCATGGACACACCCGTGCTTTGTTTCCATGGTGATTCTAAATCCTGTAAAGTTGACAATTATAATTAACCATCCTAGAAGCCATCGTGTAGGCTGGCTACCATATGTGAATCAGTGCTTAGATGGTCACGTAGGTCAAACTTACAAAAGTCCATTCATCCGTGTCACCAACACAGATGAAATAATATACAAGCCCACAAGGACTTAGGTCATGATATTTCTAGTGCCTACTGGAGCTATACTTTCTTCATGCCTTCCACCACACAAACCTAGTAATTTCCTTGGTTCCTCAAGCTGAACCTGGAAGAGTATCAATGTAAAAGATTTCAGATAAAGCCAACACACAAAGCTGAACTAAACTTTTGCAATTATGTGAGATGATTTGACAATGGCACACATCCTAGATAAGATAAATCACTTTGAAAATTTCATTCTTGGTTTTCCTCTCCCAAATATGGCACACAGGCTACAGGACAGCATAGACCACCTGCCTTTTAACAGGAGGATAGACAAGGCCTTCTAGTCTTATGGAACAAGGTAGAACACAATTTTGAAGACACTTATTGTGTTATTATAAAATGAGATTCATTTTGGCTTGTGTCTAACATTTCAGTAGACTCCTTCAGATGGTCAGAGGCATAGATGTTGTTGAACATGTGTCCTAAAGTGACAATTTCTTTTAAATACATGCACCAAATCAATTAGATACGTGCATTGAAAACCATCCCCATTCACCGTGCAGACTAAAAAGCCCTTGGTCACACAGACAATTGATTACTCATCTGTCCTGGATAGTTTTATGTCAGTGACACAAGCTAAAGTCATCTGGAGAGGAAAAAGCCTCAATGAAGAAAATGCCTCCCTCTCTACTGCAGCAGATAGGAACAAATACAGAGACCCACAGCCAGACATCAAGCAGAAAGACCTTGGAACACACAGGTCTCAATGGTACATTTCCATCAAACCCCTTCGCTCAGAGCTCAGCAAACCCAGCGGAAGAGGAGACAGAAGGAATGGGGGAAACAGGGGCCAGAGGACGACACAAGAAGAACAAAGTCCTTTAAATCAACTAAGCAAAGCTCTTATGAACTAACTCACAGAGACAGACACAGCAATCACAGGGCTTGCATGCCTCTGCACCAGGTCCTTGTTAGAGGAACGTTTATGGGACACCTGGATGTGTGAATTGTTGCATCTCTGATTCTTGTGCCTTCTCTTGGGGTTCTTTTATTTTTCTGTTGGCTTGTCTTGTCCAACTTTGATGTTGATATAACGATTTTATGTTTTGTTTTATATTTTTTGTTGTGCTTTCTTTGTTGTTATTTCTTAGAAACCTGTTCTTTTATAATAAAGTCAGTAAGGTAGTGGATCTGGATGGGAGAGGAGTGGGAAGGAACTGGGAGGAGAGTTGGTAAGGGGAAACTATATTCAAATTATATTGTATGAGAAAAGAATCTATGTTTAATAAAAGGGAGTTTAAAAAGAAAATGCCTCCATAAAATTGAGCTGTAGACAAGATTGTTGGGCATTTTCTTAATTAGCCCAGATCATTGTGGGTAGTGTCATCCCTGGACTGGAGGTCCTGGGTTCTATAAGAAAATAGGCTGACAAACATT